GGTTGGACCAGAGCCGTGTAGCCTCGGTCTCGGCCCGCGGTCTCAGCCCGGTCCGTCGTCACGTTTGTGGTCGGTTCCGCCGGTTCCGCCAGAGACAGCCCGGCCTCGGTGACGGGCGGGGGGGCCGGGAAGGAGTGCAGGAAGACGGCGGAGGGCTGCGTGTCCGCTAGGATGCTGCGGTACACGTTCCCGCCGCCCTCTGGGTCCATGGGCGAGAACCGGTCCATGCTGACCCGGTCCCCCGGGAAGTTATTGATCAGATCGTCGTTCACGGCCGTCTCCGGGAGAGCTTTTCCCGCCGCGGGCTCCAGCTCCGGCCTGACATGGCGGCGCTCCTCCCCGTCCCCTCCATCCTCCACCCGGGGGAGGACTGGCTCTACAGCCGGACCGTACTCCCGGGGCACGTCGGTCTCCAGCGGGGCTCCTGGGAGTCCCGGACCGGCCGGGCCCGGTTGTGGAGGGCCCTCGTCGTCCGTCGTCGCGGTTATTGTTGTTGTCGGGACCGCCGCAGCTCCTGGCTCTGCAGCCACGGCCGCCATTTTCTTCCGCTGTACTGCCGAGCAGCGCCTCGTCCCGCCCTCCTACAGCGCTGCCAACTGCGCAGGCGCACTGCCATTGGCCAAAGTTCCTGTCACTCAAATGAAACGAGGCAGAGCGTCGTCTGTGATTGGACGGCTCAGTCAGAGTCCGTGAGGCGCGAGGCCGCCGCCAGGGGGCGTTTTTCTTTACACGAAACAAAAACATCAGCAGCTGATCGATGAAAGGATCTATAACTGACTCCAGATCAGTTCGTGTGTTAAACAACATCCTGCTGATCTCAAACCAGTACCTGATCAATAAAACCGGCTGCTGCGCTGCAAAAGAAAAGATTCTGCTGAGGGCTTTATTTTTAATAATCTACCAACTCATACTGATCATCAGAAACCTGATTTACAATAATCAATATGTTCGATCTAATCAGACAGAAATCATCATCAAGTTGTGTTTTTATGGAGAATCAAAAGATCATCAGAGCAGCGTACTGATCACTGATCGATTATTAATGTTACATACTGGATATGTTATTACTTTTCCCTCGGATACGATCATGTTCAGATATCAGTTATTGATTATCATGTTCAGAAACATAGAAACAGCATCAGGAGCTTCTACATTCTGATTTTGGTTTGATCTTGTTGTTTATTATTTTATTGTCCTCAGTGTTTAATGTCTCGAATGTACCCGGATTCCCAGTTTGAGGAACCTGCAGGTCCTGGTCCAGGTCCAGGTCCAGGTTCAGGTTCAGGTTCAGGTTCTGGTTCTGGTTCTGGTTCAGGTTCAGGTATCAGCTGTGAAAACAAAGAGACATGTTTACCTGCAGCTGCCACTTTATGAACAAACTGTCGAATAAATAATAAAACTAGAACCTCGTCAGATCAACAAAGTTCATCAAGTGAACTCGTGGACCAACAGAAAACTCTTCTTTGCTGGTGTTTGTGGCGAGTTAAAGCCACAGTGTCTTACCGGACGAAGCCCCCCCGCAGACTTGAATGGAGAGCAGTGAAGCCAGTTTTGGACCAATAAAATACTACTACAGGGCTACTTCCTGTTGGCACCAGTGTCTGCTGCGCATTATCGTGCAGCATAACTCTGGTGTTTTGACATCGTTTTTGGGCCTACATGGAGCCCTCCGTGCAGACTTGGGTCAGCTTCACTGTTCCAACTCTGGCTTACCCCCCTTGGGTGAAGCCAGTGATACATGTCAGGCTCACTGCTGCTAGCCAGGTGATTCACACACCTGAAACACTGAGAGACACCTGCTGACTCAAGCTTGATTTATACTCCTGCGTAGGGTCTAGCCAGGCATTTATACACTGCTCAAAAAATAAAGGGAGCACTTAAACAACACAATTTAAATCCAAGTCAGTCACACTCCTGTGAAATCAAACTGTCCACTTAGGAAGCAACACTGACTGTCAATCAATTTCACATGCTGTTGTGCAAATGGAAAAGACAACAGGTGGAAATTATAGGCAATTAGCAAGACCCCCCCAATAAAGGAGTGTTTCTGCAGGTGGGGACCACACTTCTCAGTTCCTGTGCTTCCTGGCTGATGTTTTGGCGGTGCTTTCACTCTAGTGGTAGCCTGAGACGGAGTCTACAACCCACACAAGTGGCTCAGGTAGTGCAGCTCATCCAGGATGGCACATCAATGCGAGCTGTGGCAAAAAGGTTTGCTGTGTCTGTCAGCGTAGCATCCAGAGCACGGAGGCGCTACCAGGAGACAGGCCAGTACATCAGGAGACGTGGAGGAGGCCGTAGGAGGGCAACAACCCAGCAGCAGGACTGCTACCTCCTCCTTTGTGCAAGGAGGAGCAGGAGGAGCAGGAGGAGCACTGCCTGAGCCCTGCAAAATGACCTCCAGCAGGCCACAAATGTACATGTGTCTGCTCAAACGGTCAGAAACAGACTCCATGAGGGTGGTACGAGGGCCCGACGTGCACAGGTGGGGGTTGTGCTTACAGCCCAACACTGTGCAGGACGTTTGGCATTTGCCAGAGAACACCAAGATTGGCAAATTCGCCACTGTGCTCTTCACAGATGAAAGCAGGTTCACACTGAGCACGTGTGACAGACGTGACAGAGTCTGGAGACGCCGTGGAGAACGTTCTGCTGCCTGCAACATCCTCCAGCATGACCGGTTTGGCGGTGGGTCAGTAATGGTGTGCGGTGGCATTTCTTTGGGAGGCTGCACAGCCCTCCATGTGCTCGCCAGAGGTAGCCTGACTGCCATTAGGTACAGATCTTCAGACCCCTTGTGAGACCATATGCTGGTGCGGTCGGCCCTGGGTTCCTCCTAATGCAACACAATGCTAGACCTCATGGGGCTGGAGTTTGTCTATGGACCGGCCCGCCTGTTCCCCAGACCTGAATCCAACTGAGCACATCTGGGACATCATGTCTCGCTCCATCCACCAACGCCACGTTGCACCACAGACTGTCCAGGAGTTGGCGGATGCTTTAGTCCAGGTCTGGGAGGAGATCCCTCAGGAGACCATCCGCCACCTCATCAGGAGCCCAGGCGTTGTAGGGAGGTCATACAGGCACGTGGAGGCCACACACACTACTGAGCCTCATTTTGACTTGTTTTAAGGACATTACATCAAAGTTGGATCGGCCTGTAGTGTTTTCCACTTTGATTTTGAGTGTGACTCCAAATCCAGACCTCCATGGGTTGATACATTTTTGTGTGATTTTGTTGTCAGCACATTCAACTATGTAAAGAAAGGAGTATTTAGAGATTATTTCATTCATTCAGATTTAGGATGTGTTATTTTAGTGTCCCCTTTATTTTTTTGTGCGTCCGTGTGTCCGTCAATCTGCAATAACATCCCCAAACGCTAGTCGGCAGTAGCGCCACAGCGTCCGCTGTGTTGACTTTTACCAGCCAAGCAGGCTAACTTCCGGTTTAGCGCTCCGCTAACGTGAATAGGGGTAAAATTGTGAACGTGCGGCTGGTGTAGCCTTTTCAAATGTTATCGACCGAGTGGATCACAGTCATTTCGCTCGGGTTGTGACGGTCAAATATATCGATCCACCGTGTTACATCTGCTGTTTTGGCCACTAGTAAATATTACTTCAAAGCACGAGGCACTTCCTGTCGGCTTGGAGGCTTTGCTAGGCTACTCAGCCGACCAATCACAGAGCTTACGGGCTGCGTCGACTTGACATGTAGTTACGTTTTTGAGGAGGTGCACGTCAGGCTACACCATAGGTGATGGCGTAGGGTAGGGGGCTACGCAGAGGCTACGCCATCGATTTGACGCAGAAGTGCACTTTACCCCGTTAAACCTTCAGTAACCCCTCCGCTGGGTGTTTGGCTTGTTGTGTTGAAGTATCCTGACACACACACACACACACATATATATATATACACACTACTGTCTTCAATACCAGACCATGACTGTCCCCTACTTGTCCTCGGTGACATGAACATCCACTTAGACAATTTGAACTCAGCAGACTTCCTGTCTCTGATTCAGTCCTTTGATCTAGAATAGAATAGAATAGAATAAATTCACTCGTTGCATCAACTCCAGTACAAAAACAGAAGCAAACAGTAGACAACTAAAATAGACATTAAATTACTATAAAAGAAGTAAAATTGGAGTATATATGTACGCTATTTACAGATGCAGGACCGGGGTTAAACATTGCACAGATTGTGCTAGATAAAGTGCAGTAGTGGTGATGAGTATTGCAGTTGGTGTATAGCAGACAAGCATACAATACTAAACAGTAGTGCAATATGATGGTCACATTGTGTTGCTTCCGAGTTAAAAAGTCTGACTGCAGCTGGAATGAAGGACCTGCGGTAGCGCTCCCTCTTGCACTTTGGGTGCAGCAGTCTGCTGCTGAAGGAGCTGCTTAAAGACACCACTGTCTCATGCAGGGGGTGGGAGCTGTTGTCCCTGATGGACTTCAGCTCGACTAGCATCCTCCTCCCACCCACCTGCTCTGTGGTGTCCAGAGGACAGTCCAGGACAGAGCTAGCCCTCTTAACCAGTTTATTCAGTCTTTTCCTGTCCCTCTCTGTGCTGCCGACTCCCCAGCAGACGACGGCGTTGAAGATCGCAAATGCCACCACAGTGTCAAACGTCTTTAACAGTGTCCTGCACACACCGAAGGACCTCTTTGTCCCTTCTTGTACAGGACATCTGTGTTGGTGGACCAGTCCAGTTTAGTGTTGATGTGAACCCCCAGGTATTTGGGTTGTGGTGGCAGCCTGGCTGACGGTTAGTGTCCTGTTTTTTCTCCTTTTCATCAGTTATTCTGCTTTTTCCTTGGTTTTCTCTGTCCCCTGCCTGCCTCCCTGTGTTTCCTCCCCTGTGTGCACTCTCTCCCTCTGCTCCTGAGCCCAGCCTACAACCCGCACCTGCACCTCATCAGCCACCTCGTCAGCCTGCCACACCTGCCAGTAATCAACCTCATGCCTGCCTGTATTTCAAACCCGGTTCTCCACACCATCCTTGCTTGATCGTCGTTGCTCCACACCCGGTGCCACCTCTGCATTCAGGTTCTCATGTTTTTTGATTTCTCTCAATTTCCCTGTGCTTTGTCGCCTCTGTCACTAACCCTGTCTCTTTGTCTGCTTTCCACCCAGGTTCACTCACCCTCGTCCTCCGTTCAGTCGGCTGGGCTCATCCTCCGGTCTTCTCCTCCTTGGACTTCCCCCACAGCGTCCTCCCAGTTCTCCTCCGCTTCCTCTGCCCCAGTGTTCCTCGGCCCTCTGGTCCCAGTCTCCTCGGTTCCCCTGTGTTTCCCCGGCATCCACCTCTCCCTCGACTCCAGTCCCTCACCCCCTTTTCCCAATAAAACCTGTCAAAACTGAACGTTGCATTTGGGTCCACTCCACATTTTGTCCCCACACCACACCACCCATAACAATTTGTATGACTCCACCGTGTCAATGTCCACACCCTGGATGTTCACTGGTGTAATCTGAGGGCGCGTCCTGCTGAGGTCAACCACCATCTCCCTTGTTTTGCTGGCGTTGATGTGGAGGCGGTTTAACCCACACCAATCAACAAAGTCAGCGATGACGTCCCGGTATTCCTGATCGTTCTCCTCTGAAAAACCCGCCCAACAATGGCAGTATCATCGGAGAACTTCTGCAGGTGATCGCTGATTGTGTATCTGAAGTCCGATGTGTAAAGGGTGAAGAGGAAGGGAGTGAGCACTGTCCCCTGTGGTGCTCCTGTGCTGCAGACTACCACATCAGACATGCAGCCTAGGAGCCTCAAATACTGTGGTCTGTCTGTGACGTAGTTGAGTGAGAGTCAGCTCCAGCTCTGAGTAGCTTCCCCCTGAGTAGTGATGGTTGAATTGTGTTGAAAGCACTGCAGAAGTCAAAGAACACGACCCTCACAGTGCTTCCGGTGCTCTCCAGATGTGAATAGAGTCTGCATTAGGTAGGTGACAGCGTCATCCACCCAATGCCCGGCTGGTAAGCAAACTGAAGGGGGTCCAGCTCTGAGCTCACCAGGTGTCTCAGGTGTTTAAGTATGATCCTCTCCATGGTCTTCGTCAGGGCTACTGGTCTGAAGTGGTTGGGCTCCCTGGGGTGTGCGCTTTTGGGTACTGGAACCACACAGGAAGTCTTCCATAGGACTGGGACTCGCTCCAGACTGAGACTCAGGTTGAAGATTTGCCGGATGATCTCACTGAGCTGATCTGTCCTTCAGCAGTCTGGAGCTGATGCCATCTGGACCCGTAGCCTTTCTCACTTTGATCTTTTTAAGTTCCCTCTGCACCTGTCAGATAGACAGAGAGAGAGAGTTTGCATGGGGGAGTTGTGGTGACCCATGAAGCAGGAGACGGGGGAGGGTTGGGGGTCTGACACCTCTATGTCAATGGAGTGGACAGTGGTGGAGAGGTGTGAAGAGGGTGATGCTAGTGACCCATCTGCTCTGATGGGGAGGGGGAGGATGTGTGTCGGCTGAGGAGGGAAAGGTTGAGTCACCGACAGGTCTGAAAGCTGGTTGGAGGTGGAGGGAGGGGGAGCAGATTCAAATTTATTGAAAAACAGATTTAATTCATTTGTCCTGTCTCTGTTACCAGAAACCGCCCCCCCCTACACTGTCTCTGGCATGTCCAGAGATAGTTTTCAGTCCCCTCCAGACCTCCCTTGAGTTGTTTTTTTCCGGAGGTGCTCCTCCAGCTTCCTCCTGTAGCTGTCCTTTCCTTTCCTTATCTCCCATCTGAGTTACCTCTGCACCCTCCTCAGCTCTTCTTTATCCCCAGATCTGAAAAGTCTTTCCATTCAGCAGGGCTTTGAGATCAGCAGTCACCCAGGGTTTGTTGTTGGAGGAACACCGAACCTTTTTCTAGGGCGAATGCTAACAGTTAGCAGCTCAATGTCTTTAGCTCATTGCTGTTCTTTTACATTAATGTGGCCCAGGTTACACCATCTGTTGTTAACAAACATCGCTACTCCCCCACCCTTCCTCTTACCACTTTCGTTTGCTCTCCTGTCCGCTCTAACAAGCTGAAAACCTTCTAGTGAAACCAAAGAGTCTGGGGTCAGTTCATTCAGCCACGTCTCCGTGTAGCACATGATGCTACACTCACGATACTCCCTCTGCAGCCTGTTTAGCGCCATTAGCTGTTCCATCTTATTGGGGAGAGATCTCACATTCCCCACTTTATCCGAACTCCTGACCCATAGCCGTCCAACTACATGCCCACTGGACCCGATTCCTACGAATCTCCTCCAAGCCATATCTCCTACTGTGGTCCCGGCAATCACTCATGTGATAAATACTTCTCTGGCTTCAGGAACCTTCCCGACCACTTTCAAAAGGGCTCAGGTTACACCCTTGCTCAAAAAGCCCTCACTCGACCCAACTCAAGTTGAGAACTATTGGCCAGTGTCTCTTCTACCATTTTTATCCAAAACTATTGAACGGGCAGTCTTCAAACAGGTCTCAGATTTCCTCTCAGGGAATGACTTCCTAGATCCATATCAGTCTGGTTTTAAGAGTGCCCACTCTACTAAAATGGCTCTTCTGTCTGTAACAGAAGCCCTAAGGTCAATTACCCTCCTCCCACTGCCTCCTCTTATCAGTTCCTGCAGGTTTTCTGGCTCTGGAGCTGTGGAGTCTGGATCTGTGGTTGCGGGTCACCTGCTGCCCCCGTGTTCCTGCTGGACACCCTCAGCTGCAACGACTATTGTTACTAGTCCTATTATTATTATTGTTATTATAATCATTAACATTACGACTGTTATCATTAACACTACTATAAATATCTGTACCATTTTTCATTTAGTCTATAGCAACATTACCTTTACTGTCTGTACCTCTGTGTGGATATTGTGTAGGCTGCCTCCCTCCCCTCTCTCTCCTTATATCCCTCTCTTTTTCTCTCTGTTCCTCTCCTGCCCTCTCTCTCTCTCTCCCTCTCTTGCTCTCTCTCTCTCCCTCTCTCTCTCTCCCTCTCTTGCTCTCTCTCTCTCCCTCTCTCTCTCTCTCTCCCTCTCTCCCCCCCCCTTCTCTCTCTGTCCCTCTCTGCCCACCCTGAGTCATGGTTCTGCTCGAGGTTTCTGCCTCTTAAAGGAAGTTTTTCCTTGCCTCTGTCTCCTAGTGCTTCTTTGGGCTTCTGTAAATAACATAGAGTACGGTCTAGACCTGCTCTTTATGAAAAGCTTTATTGAAAGCTAAAGCTGCAGCCCAATCCTCAGTTCTTATCCTGCTTGACCTATCAGCTGCCTTTGACACAGTCAACCACAGCATCCTGCTATCCGCTCTCTCAGCAACGGGCATCTTGAGTAAAGCACTCCTGTGGGTTGAATCCTACCTCTCGGGGCGTTCCTATAATGTTTTGTGGCAAGGACAATTATCCTCCTCCCACTGCCTCTCCACAGGGGGGCCCCAAGGCTCAGTGCTTGGGCCCCTTCTCTTCTCAATTTACACCACCTCACTGGGGCCGATCATTCACTCGCACGGCTTCTCTTACCACTGCTACCTATCCTTCCCACCAGGCGACCCCACCATTTTTGCGCGGAACACGGACTGTCTATCGGACATATCTGCATGGATGAATAATCTATCCACCACAACATCAAACTACAAATTGGCTCCTCAACCATCACTCCAACCAAGGTGGTGAGAAACTTGGGTGTCATGATTGATGACCAGCTGTCCTTTTCAGACCATGTTGCTACTGTCTCTCGGTCGTGCCGCTTTTCTCTATACAACATAAGGAAAATCAGGCCCTACCTCACTCAGTACGCCACCCAGCTTCTGGTACAGGCCATGGTTATCTCTCGCATTGACTATTGCAATGCCCTCCTAGCAGGTCTTCCAGCTTGTGCGGTGAAACCCCTACAAATGGTTCAGAGCACAGCAGCGCGTCTGGTTTTTAATCAGCCCAAAAGGACTCATGTCACTCCATTACTCAGTGACCTCCACTGGCTCCCCGTGGCCTCCAGAATCAGGTTCAAGTCACTAATGCTGCATACAGAGTGACTACTGGGTCTGCACCCATCTACCTAAACTCCATAATACAAACTTACGTTCCTTCTCGGCCGCTACGCTCCTCCAACGAACGCCGCCTGGCTCTGCCGTCCCTTCACACAAAGCAATCCCAGTCCCGGCTGTTCTCATCTGTGACACCACGATGGTGGAACGAGCTACCGCACGCCATCAGAGCAGGGGCGTCCCTCTCTAACTTCAAGAAGCTCTTGAAAACTCATCTCTTCCGAGAACACTTCCACTGATAACACCTAACATGCACTTCCTGTGCTCTTCTTCTTCTATCCTCTTACAATTGTCTTGTATTAATAGCACTTTTTTGTTAACTCTTACTTCCTTCCTACTAGGTATTTACCCCATTGATGTGATATGTACTGTGAGCTCTTACTAGTGTTTATTGCTGCTCTTACTAGTATGTATTGTCAGTTGTAGATCTGTAGTTGATGCTCTGTTGATGATTGTATGTTGTTCCTCAAATGTAATTTGCTTTGGATAAAAGCGTCTGCCAAATGAGTAAATGTAAATGTAAATGTCTCAGACAATCTTTGAGTTCAGCTCAGGATGAATGGGGGCAAAAACAAAAGTGTTGTGTTTTACGTTTAACGTAGTATAATTTCATTAACAGTAAGATTAGAACAGCTCTGTAATTTCACTTTTTAATATTAGCACACAGATGTTTCAGAAAAGACGCCTTTCTTTGGCAGGGCCGAGCCGGGACGACTGAAACACTTTAAACCTCCTTTTAAATGATAACATTAAAGACAGAAACTGTTTTTCGTTCTGATCAATAACTCACACGTGTGTTCGATCAATCCCAGGTGCTGTTCTGTATAAATGTGAAACCACCACACCTGCTGCTGCTTCAAAAGCATAATTCAACCCAACCTCCAACCTGTTATTTCAACATACTCACTTTATTCACAAACAACACCTCCCACCGCCAACCTCACTGACCTCAACAGGAAAGCGATTTTAAAAAAGAAAGCACACACCATCAGTCATCCTCCACTCATCAGGACGTAGAGACAGATCTATGTAGCAGGAGCTTTATCTCCTCTGCCAGAGCACTGCTCGCTGAGTTAGAAAGTGCATCTGATTGGTGTACAAATGTCCTGTCGGATGTAAGCTATATGTTTTTAGGTGTGTTCATGTTGTTTATATCTGAGGCTATTTATGTCTAGATGGTGAAAACAAATTCCCTGAAATAAAGAATGGAATCTAAAACAACTTCAGTTTAATTTGACTTAGAACGGAAGGTCAGCATCGTTTCTCCTGTCTAGATCTGCCGAGATGGATCTGTATAAATTTAAAATGTTTGTTTTTCTTTTTGTTATTTAAAATGCAAAAACAGTGTTCTATAATAATAATAAAATATCAACATCAAACAATCAATGCGGATTTGGATTTCTTTCAGACCTATGCAGATCGGCCTAAGTGGATTTGTTTAGTTAAATGTATTTATGACTTTATGAATATTATAAATGTTGATGCAGGAAATGAATTGTGTGGTGGTGTGTTGTGGCCGACACTTCTCTGGGGCTCTTGGCTGCCGTTTGTATGTGCAACCTGTTGGGCTGGTCCACTTTGAAGACCTTGTTATCTGGCTGCCAGGATCCTGGTGGTCTAGCCTGTAGCCAGGTGGACTCTTGATTTTATTTTTATGAGGTATTGCAGTTTGGGTAAAAGACGGTGCCTCTGACCTGATACAAACAAGCTCAGTGGCTCCGCACGCTGGATGTCCATCCACACCGGAGCAGGAAGTTTGGATCAAATTGGCGTGTGCAGTCTGTCAGCCTAAAGCTATGGTCTAGAGTTGATACAGATTTCCCAGCCTTCTGCTGAAAGTTTGTACCCTAACTGATTGCGTGTAAGGCATATTTAAGTAGTGTTGAAGATGTGTCGTTGTTAATGTAATATTTCAAAGGTTTAATGTGTCTTTGTTTATTTTTAGTTTTGTGGTGCTTGATGGAAAATAAAGATAAAATATTGCACCGGTTTAACTCTACGCAGGTTTATTGATGCCAAGGACCTGCTACAGTAAGTACTGGGTTCCATCAGTACTGGGTTCCATAATACTGGGTTCTGTACCTGCTGAGGTAGTTTGGCAGATCAGACTTGTGCGGATTCGAAGGAAACTTCTGTGTTTTATTCGTCCCGTGTTTCTATCTTCCTGCCACTCCCCTATATTTTGAAATACTTAATAAATTGACACATTATATTTCTACACTGTGGTATTTCTACGTTTACTTAAGTTCTTCCAGCACTCGACTGCATTTCATTTGTACTTCCCCTTAGTGCTCGATGTTACGTTACAAACGAGAGAAAGTGGTGCAGAGCTTCAAATGACTGTAGTTCTGGTGCTGCAACAATCACCTGAGCCAGAACCACAGCAGCTTCCTGTCCCCACTGAGTTTCAGCCGACCCCTGAACAAGCAGGAAGCTTCTGGTCTGAGAAGCGAAGTGAACGCAGAAACACCTTAAACCTGCATCCTCTCTAGCAGCCAGCAGGGGGCGACTCCGCCGGCTGCAGAAAGAAGTGTGATTGTATAGAAGTCTGAGAAAATGTTTCTGCTTCTCAGCTGATTTATTCCCTCAGTAAACACTTTCCTGATGAGTTTATGGTCTCAGTCGCTAGTTTCAAGTCTTCTTCAACACAGCATGATGTTCATTTAGTAAATTATGGTCCCATTTAGAGGAACAGAGACCAGGAAGCAGGGGAGGCTTTAGGGCGGGGCTACAAGCTGATTGGCTACAATCAGAATAGAGGCGACTCGTATCCGCTGCTCTGTGTACATTTAACCAACGCTCAGGAGACAGCTGTTCATTTTTCAGTAAGTAAGTTTTGTTTTAAGCCTGTTTGTCGCTAGCCAAAATTAGCATCCAAGCTAATATCACAGTTAATGTGAATTACTGATGCACCTGCTAACCAAGCTAGCTAGCTCCACACGGAGCCATTGGCTCCATCGTCTCTTCCGGTGGTTGCAAAAAATCAACATGGCGGCACCCTAATGGTCAAACTCAATGGGTGACGTCACCATGACTATGTCCTCTTCTTTTATACAGTCTGTGCCACTCACACTGCTGAGTGAAAGTGCAGCGTCTTCCTGTCCTTGCTGAGTTTCAAACAACCCTGCTGAGTTACGGAACCCCCCCCTGACGCATCCATACATCAGCCACAGAACTGCATCAACCTTTGTTTGTCCCTGATGTGGTTCACCTGCTGGTTCACCCGGCCTGTCCTGTCTTCACCAGAGCGGCTTCCATTCATTCTGTTCCTCTTCTGTGGGTGGATTTACATGTCATGCTCTGTCGTATTTGGATTCTTGCTTTGTTTTGTCAGTGGACTTCGGGACATTTACCTGAATCACCTTGTTCTGTTCGGACCTCCTTGGTTGTAAGTGTTCACGTTGTGTTCCGGGTCGGGTCCTAAAACCAGTTTCAACCCTGACAGTTTTTTATTTCAGTTTAGTTCTCACACTCTGAATCCAAACAATAACAATACCCAGATCTTAATCACACCTTTATTAGTGTATTACAGTGTGTAATGATTATTGCTTTGATTGACAGAATAGAGGTTTCAGATATTATAACACATTACTGCCGTGATTTCACTTCCTGTTCTGACTGCAGCGGCTTCATTCACATCTAATTAAAAATCTAAGGTCAAACATCTGAGTTTATTGATTAAAACTCATTTTAAATAGATTTAAATGTTAGAAACTGTCATTATTCTCACTAAAATGAATTTTCACAGATGCACAGAAAAACGATTCAGCAGTCTGATTGGTTGAGGTTCAGTCCAGCTGTCATTGGCTTCGTAGGATTGGTCAGAGGATGTTAAGTCCAGTCCCTTCTGCTTCCTTGAGATCTTTTAAAGCCACACCTTCAGTTGAGACCACGCCCCCATCATCAGGTGCCCTGCCTTCTTTCAAGGATACACCTTCTTCCTGTTGGGGGGCGGGGCTTTCTCCAGCCCTTCACACAGATATTTTTCAGTTAGATATTCATTGATTAGTTATTAATCAGGTTTTAATAACCAAGACCAGCAATGTAACTAGCATTAGAAATACTAATGAAAGCTTCTAATGAAGCTAAAGAACTAGTTATTCACATAATTTCAGTGGGGAATGCTAATGACGCTAATGCTGCTAACATTAGCCGTCAATCAAGTTAGTCATTAGCTCACCATTTGATCTCCACATCCTCAATGGTGTCGGGCAGTGGCCTGTTCAGCGTCTCTGGCAGGAAGCAGGCAAAGCACCCGGCCAACACAGCCGCTCCCCCATACACTATACTGGGGAGAGCAGGGAGTACCTGGGAAATGCAGTCCATCAGTAACAGCATGGTTATTCAGTAACTTCTAAAACTAAATCAGATAAAATGTCTGCTGAAGGTTTGACCATCGATGAAGAATAAGATCCACCACTATGCCAACGATGTGATGTTATATATCCAAAGCTGCAGCTTTGGACCTCACATTTACCACAGACTGCTCTTCATCAGCTCTTATAGATACTGTAACACAGCTGTGTCTCTGGCTGTCAGTGTTGAACTATTGTTCAGTCTGTGATTAAACTAAAAATCATGATCAAGACAGAATTACATGTTTATGAAGAACTCTGTTTAAAATGTTTAAAAGACCTACACAGATGGAAACAGAGCCCAATAATTTTGATGGATCATGTAACCACCATCCATTTGAAGGTTTCTCACTTTTCATTTTATAGACATGTGTAAAAAGTATCAGAGCTCAGATTCAGTGCGGACCTAAATGAAGATCAGTTAATTTGTATTTATGTCTTTATTCTTTGATAGGTTGACCTTTCATAATTATGTAACCACGTCATTGTGTTTAGATTGATGACACGGGTTATATGAATAAAAGTATAAAAACACAAATGATTAATTCATGAAGAAGGTTAATATGTAATTTTGATCACCTCGTCCAGGATGAGGACAGCGGGGGCCGCCATGCTGCCGACTCTCGCCAAGGTGGAGACGAAGCCCATTCCTGTCTGCCTGAATGCACAGCACACATACACCATGTGATCAAAACACTCACAGATCAATATACAGTATCATCTGATAATCACGGTGTGACTATAGTGACATCAATTGAAGTGTTTTTCACATTAAAGGTCTGAATTCTATTTTCATCTTGAATTCAAAGTAAAAAAAACTGGTCTTCATCCATCAAATGAACAAAATGATTAAATTGTGAAATAAAATGATTATTAAATGATTAATTAAGCAACTACAGACCAGACGATAACCAGACTTACAGCGGGTGAAATAAGTATTGAACACGTCACCATTTTTCTCAGTAAATATATTTAAAAAGGAGCTATTGACATGAAATTTTCACCAGATGTTGGTAACAACCCAAGTAATCCATACATACAAAGAAACCAAAACAAAGAAGTTCAGAAATAAAGTTATGTGTAATAATGTGAAATGACACAGGGAAAAAGTATTGAACACGCTTACTGATATTTATTCAATACTTTGTACAAAAGCCTTTGTTGGTAATGACAGCTTCAAGACGCCTCCTGTATGGAGAAACTAGTTGCATGCATTGCTCTGGTGTGATTTTGGCCCATTCTTCCACACAAACAGTCTTCAAATCTTGAAGGTTCTGTGGGCCTCTTCTATGAATCTTGATCTTCAGTTCTTTCCATAGATTTTCAATGGGATTTAAGTCAGGTGATTGGCTGGGCCATTCTAGCAGCTTTATTTTCTTTCTTTGAAACGAGTTGAGAGTTTCCTTGGCTGTGTGTTTGGGATCATTGTCTTGCTGAAATGTCCACCCTCGTTTCATCTTCATCATCCTGGTAAATGGCAGCAAATTTCTGTCAAGAATGTCTCTGTAAATTTGCCCGTTCATCCTTCCTTCAATTATGTGAAGTTTGCCAGTACCATTTGCTGAAAAGCAGCCCCACACCATGATGATCCCACCTCCAAACTTCACTGTTGGTATGGTGTTTTTAGGGTGATGTGCAGTGCCATTTCTCCTCCAAACATGGTGTGTATTATGGCATCCAAACAGTTCAATTTTGCTCTCATCTGACCACATTATATTCCCAGTATTTCACTGGCTTTTCCAAATGCTGTGCAGCAAACTTTAAACGAGCTTCAACATGTTTTTTCTTCAGCAATGGAGTCTTGTGTGGTGACCCTGCATACAGGCCATGGCGGTGGAGTGCATTACTTACTGTTTTCTCTGAGACAACAGTACCTGCTAATTGCAGGTCTTTTTGAAGCTCTCCACAAGTGGTCCTTGGCTCTTGGACAACTCTTCTGATTATTCTTTTCACTCCTCTGTCAGAAATCATGCGAGGAGCACCTGGTCGAAACAAATTTATGGTGAAATGATTGCCTTTGCACTTCCGTATTATGGCCCCAACAGTGCTCACTGGAACATTCAGAAGTTTAGAAATGCGCCTATAACCAATGCCATCATTGTGTTTTGCAACAATTAGGTTGCGAAGGTCCTGAGACAGCTCTATGCTTTTACCCATCATGGGATGTGTCTTGTGTGACACCTTGGCAAAGAGACCTTTTGGTATGCCATCAGTTGCCATCAGTTGGGACTGAACCAGCTGATATTAATTTGCACTGACAAGGGTCTGGATTGCTTTTTAATTACTGATAGTTTTCAGCTGTTGTCTTGGCTTTCCATGCCTTTTTGCACATCCCTTTCTTCATGTGTTCAATACTTTTTCCCTGTGTCATTTCACATTATTATTTCTGAACTTCTTTGTTTTGGTTTCTTTGTATGTATGGATTACTTACTGAGAAAAATGGTGAGGTGTTCAATACTTATTTCACCCGCTGTATGAAGAAATGTCAGGTTTCGGACGATAATTATCAGAACTTCTCTGTATGATTTGATTTTTGGAATGGACTGTCGGATTGTTTTTACCATCTGAGGAATCTTGTTCTGATCTGTTCATTTCTGAGCTTTACACACTGAATCTGAAATCTCTTTTATTTTTTGACTGTCTCCAGTAAGTTGCTGTCTATTTTAACAAAGATTCTTAAAGTGGTGAAGACAGGCTTTTCAAAAGTACTTGTATGTATTGTATATGTTAAAACAGTACTGCATAAATACTGTGCAAACTTTTTTGATGACTTTGGTGAACTGCTGTCTATAATCTGTATTGACTTTGACTGTGTGGTTATTGTTGCTGATTTTAACATCCATGTTGACAACCCCCAGGACAGAGGGACTAAAGAACTGTGTTGTGTTCTTGATAATTATGGACTGACTCAACATGTGACGAGGCCCACGCACAATAAGGGGCACAGTTTGGACTTGGTCATCTCCAAGGGTCTGGACATTTCCAAGGTTGTGCTGACTGATGTTGCTCTCTCTGATCATTCCTGTGTTTTCTTTGAGAGTGCTATCTGCGTGCACACAAATGTTAAAACAGAGGTGATCACAAAACGGCATATCACTGAAAACACCCGCCCTCTCACGGGTCTCAGTCAATGAGCTTGTAGATAATTTCAGTTCTAAAATTACAAATGTTATTGATGCCGTTGCACCAGCCAAGGTGAAGGTGGTCTCTGGTAAGAGAAGATCTCCATGGAGAACCACGCTCGTTAGAACTCAAAAAAGAGAGTGTCGAAAAGCTGAACGCAGGTGGCGGAAAACAAATCTCCAGGTTCATTATGACATCTATAAAGAGACTTCGCATTTATAATTTAGAGCTGAGAAATGCAAGGCGGTCCTTCTTCTCTGACATCATCACCAAAAACACTTATAATTTACGTGCCCTGTTTGCTACTGTGGACAGGCTAACCAACCCTCCTGTGTCTGCAGCCTCTGACCTTCTATCCACCAGGGCCTGCAATGAATCTGCCTCCTTCTTCACAGACAAAATTCAAACAATTAGACAAGCAATCAGTGCCTCCAAAGCAGTAACAGGATATGTCTTGTCCCTGAGTCCACTTTAAAACAATTTATATAGCATGAGACAATTTGATTCTATTAACCATAAAAACCTGGAGGACATAAAACAACATCTGAAATTCTCCTCATGCTGCCTTGATATTCTGCCAACAGGTTTTTTCAAATATGTGTCTAAATGCATGGCTTCAGATTTACTACAAATTGTCAACATGTTTCTCCTCTCAGGTTTTTTCCCACAGGCCCTGAAAACTGCAGTCATTAAGCCACTCTTAAAAAAGAGCAATCTAGACAGGTCACTAATGAACAATAATAGGCCCATATCCAATCTCCCCTTTCTAAGTAAAATCATTGAGGCTGTTTTTCAACAGCTTAGTGCTTTCTTGGCACTAAATAACTGTTTTGATGTCTTCCAGTCAGGTTTTCGACCACACCACAGCACTGAGACGGCTCTTGTTAAGGTCTTCAATGACAGAATTTCAGTCTTAGTATTATTGGATCTCAGTGCTGCATTCGACACGGTCGACCACAATGTATTACTAGACAGACTTGAAAACTAGGTTGGACTTTCTGGCACAGTACTAAACTGGGTTGAATCCTACTTAAAGGACGGGGACTACTTTGTGTCTATAGGTAATTACACATCTGAGCTGACAAAAATGACATGTGGAGTTCCCCAAGGCTCCATTCTGGAAACTCTTTTGTTTAACATTTACATGCTTCCACTGGCTCAGATTATGAAAAACAACAAAATATGTTACCATAATTATGCAGATGACACACAGATTTACATAACCATTTCACCAGGGGACTATGATCCCATACAGGCGCTGAGTAACTGTATTGAGCAGGTCAACGATTGGATGTGCCAGAATTTTCTTCAATTAAACAAAGAGAAAACTGAAGTTATTGTTTTTGGAGCCAGGGAGGAACGACTGAAAGTCAGCGCTCGACTTCAATCTGTAATGTTAAGAACCACAAATCAAGCCAGAAATCTTGGTGTAGTCATGGACTCAGACCTGAATTTGAGGAGCCACATTAAGACAATTACAAAGTCAGCCTACTATCACCTGAAGAATATATCACGGATTAAAGGACTTATGTGTCAGCAGGACCTGGAAAAGCTTATCCTTGCATTTATCTTCAGTCGACTCGACTACTGTAACGGTGTCCTTACAGGGCTCCCTAAGAAATCCATCAGACAGCTGCAGCTGATTCAGAACGCTGCTGCTCGAGTCCTCACTAAGACCAAAAAGGTGGATCACATCAGTCCAGTTCTGAGGTCTTTACATTGGCTTCCTGTATGTCAAAGAATTGATTTCAAAATCCTGCTGTTAGTTTATAAAGCACTAAATGGTTTAGGGCCAAAATACATTTCCGATCTTCTGCTTCGTTACGAACCATCCAGACCTCTCAGGTCGTCTGGGATCAGGTCTGCTTTCTGTCCCCAGAGTCAAAACTAAACAAGGAGAAGCAGCGTTCAGTTATTATGCTCCGTATATCTGGAACAAACTCCCAGATAACTGCAGGTCAGCTGAAACAGTCAGTTCTTTTAAATTAAGACTGAAGACTTTTCTTTTTACCACTGTCTTTAACTAGTAGATTGATAACTTACACTGCACTGTAACTGTTACTGTCCTGTTTTCTTTTTCTTTGTTTTTAGCTTTGTATTATTTTCCATTTAACTCTTTTAACACTGATTGTAACACTGTAACTTTTATTATATTTTATGTTGCTTTTAAACTTTTATATATTTCCCTGTTGCTTTTATGTTTTATGTAAAGCACTTTGAATTACCTTGTTGTTAAATTGTGCTATACAAATAAACTTGCCTTGCCTTGCCTTGCATATATGTGATGTTTTCATAGAATGAAAACAAAGTGCAGACTGGTGAACATGTTAACCAAAGATAGTTTGAAGGGGTCAAGACGGCAGATGTCAAACATTTACTTTAAACCTTTTTCCTTATTTTTACAGAGAACAGACCTCACCCAAACCCTAAATCATTTCACTGAAGAGCTCCAGATGTTTTCGATGATATCAGACGGACAGCGTGTAACATTCTGCCTGTCAGCCATGTCTAATGTGCACTTTATCTCTTATTTAGTCTGTTGTGTTTTGGTTTTCAGTCTTGTCTGTCTGTGGTCTTGTATTTAGTCTTCTTGGTATCTGCCTTAGTTCTTGTTCTGTTCCATGTTTAGTCGGGGCGGCTGTGGCTCAGGAGGTAGAGCAGGTTGCCCGTTAATCGGAAGGTCGGCAGTTCAATCCCTGGCTGCATGTCGAAGTGTCCTTGGGCAAGATACTGAACCCCGAATTGCCCCTGGCGCCTGTTCCGCCAGTGTATGAGTGCGTGTGAGTGTACTTAGTTTCCGTTTGAGCACTTAGGCTCAGCGTATGACTGGTGAATGCAGATGTAGTGTAAAAGGCGCTATACAAGTACAGAGCATTTAGTGTTGTCCTGACTTCTGAAGGAGGCGCCGCTCAGGGCAGCCATGGTATTTTATTGCTCTCTGTTTGTTTTGTTTACGTTCGTTAACTTTGCATTCTGCTGTGTTACCCGGAGCCCTTTCACCAGAGAAGAGCTCATAAACATCAGGGGAACAACGCCAGTGAATTCCAACTTTTCTTGTGTCATCAGTGGAATTATTGGACATTCTGCTCAAGGCTTCACTTTCCGCTGTTCATGTGGTGAGACGCCGGAGGAGGGGGAGGAGGTCCGGTACGCTGGTGAGACTATGCCGAAGAGGACACCGCACGCCGCTACCGGGAATATTTCTCTCCAACGTGCACTCACTGCGCAATAAAATGGACGAACTTCGGCTACTGGTGGGGAAAAACAGAGACTTTTATTCATCTTCTGTTCTGTGCTTCACGGGGACGTGGCTGTCTGGATCAGGACTCCGTGCTGCAGCTTGCTGGCTTCCAGGTCTACAGTGCGGACCGCAACATGGAAGTCTGGCAAAACAAAAGGTGGAGGTGTCTGTTTTTACATTAACAGTGGCTGGTGTAACGATGTGACAGTGATTCAGTAGCACTGTTTTAAGCCATTCTACTCCCCCCGTGAGTCTGGTACGCTGCTGCCACTGCCAGGGACAAGGGCAGGCTGCAGCACATCATTCGCTCTGCAGAGAAGGTGATTGGCTGCAATCTTCCTTCTCTTCAGAACCTGTACGCCTCCAGGACTCTGAGGCGAGCAGGAAAGATTGCAGCTGACTCCTCCCACCCCGGACACAAACTGTGTCAGACTCTCCCCTCTGGCAGGAGGCTGCGGTCCATCATGACCAAAACCTCTCGCCAACAGTTTTTTTCCGATGGCAGTGGGCTTCCTCAACAGGGTCCGGGACGCCACTGTCAGTGACTCTCATGCCCACCCACCTAAACTCACAAACACTCATACACTCTCCTGACCCCACACTTTACAACAACGCTCATCTGTGCTTTATGCTCATGTTGCCAACTTTTGTTCTGGGTTAACTGTCTCTCTGCCGGCCTGCCTCTCTGTCACCCCCGGTTGTCTCTGCCTTCCTCGTTAACCTGATCCCGGTCACCTGTGTTTCTCCCTCCCAGCTCGTTAACCCGTGTGTGCATGTATACTTGTTTGTTTCCTCAGTCTGTGTCTGGTCATTGTGGTGTGTTACACTCAGTCGTGTTCGAGGGGAAGGGTGTTCTGTCAGCCTGTTGGATTTTCCCGTCTACTGCCTGTAAGCCTGCTAACCTGTTTTTCATTTGGAATAAAAACTGTGAACTGTATCACTGCTTCAGTGTCTTGAGTTTGGGCTCATCTCCTCTGCGCTCACCCACGGAATCCTGACACGGCGAGCGTTCACTATCAGGAAAGGACCTCAGTAAAAATGATGGAAGGTTCCTGTTGTTGGGTTAGGGACCCAACTTTTAATGTCTGGATGGCGATGGGAGAGACCTGGGTTTGATTCCCACTGCGACACATCCAGCGATGTGTCCCTGAGCAGGACACTTTTCCCGTCTGACATATCCAGCAGCTGTAGGTCTCTTTGGATCAAATGAGTAAACGTTAACGTCTCCTGTTCCTGGAACCAGCAGCCTCACCTGATGACGGTGGGGTAGAGTTCTCCGGTGTACAGGTAGACGGTGGTGAAGGAGGCCGAGGTGAAACCTTTACCAAGACACGCCAACGTGGTCCTGAGGGTCTGCATGTCTGGAGGGGCAGTTTAGATTAGTGTGTGTTAGTGTGTGTGTGTGTGTGTGTGTGTGTGTGTGTGTGTATTGGTGTGTGTGTGTGCGTGTGTGTGTATTGGTGTGTGTGTGTGTGTGTGTGTGTGTGTATTGGTGTGTGTGTGTGTGTGTGTGTGTATTGGTGTGTGTGTGTGTGTGTGTGTGTATTGGTGTGTGTGTGTGTGTTGGTGTGTGTATTGGTGTGTGTGTGTGTGTGTGTGTGTATTGGTGTGTGTGTGTGTGTGTTGGTGTGTGTGTGTGTATTGGTGTGTGTGTGTGGTGTGTGTGTGTGTGTGTGTATTGTGTGTGTGTGTGTGTGTGTATTGGTGTGTGTGTGTGTGTGTGTGTGTGTTGGTGTGTGTGTTTGTGTGTGTGTATTGGTGTGTGTGTGTGTGTGTGTGTGTATTGGTGTGTGTGTGTGTGTGTGTGTATTGGTGTGTGTGTGTGTGTGTGTGTGTGTGTGTGTATTGGTGTGTGTGTGTGTGTGTGTGTGTATTGTTGTGAGTGTGTTACCTGTGGGGACGAAGATGTTGGCGAAGATGATGATAGCCGACAGGAAGAGACAGGTCGCCTGGGAGACCCTCCTCCCCAGGTAACTGAGCATGCCCACAGCCAACAGTTTGGCGGGAAAATCAACGGCTCCAAAGATGATCTGCATCAGGTAAATACTCACCTGGAATAACCAACAGCCAATGTGAGGAGAGCTCAGTGTGAACCAGCCAATAGGAGGAGAAGAAGGGTTTAACCCGACCGGTAGACGTTTAAACTGGTAGACGGGTAAACTGGCACAAAGGTAAACTGGTACACAGGTAAATTGGTAGACGGGTAAACTGTGGCCTGTACTACAAAGCGAGTTTTGGCTTATCCAGGTAACTTCAGATGTTTAATGAATTTTTTGATTGACCCGTACTACGAAAGGTGGACAGGTGTTACCCAAGGTCTGTTGCCATGGCAATTTACGCTGCATCTGTAAACTGCTCCAAGCAGGTTTCGTTCGTGGTTAACTCTAGGTTACCTTGTATGGACTACACACCGTATCTGTACTCAGTGTAACTGAGGTGAAGTATTAATACACACCGTATCTGTACTCAGTGTTACTAACGGTATACGGGTAAACTTGTAAATGAGTAAACTGTCAGATGGGTAAACTGGTAAACGAGTACCCTGGTAGACGAGTACCCAGGTCGACGGGTAAATAGGTCGACGGGTAAACTGGTAGACGGGCAAACACGTAGACGGGTAAACTGGTAGACAGGTAACCACGTGAACGGGTAAACCTGTAGACAGGTAAACCTGTAGACATAAACTGATAGAGGGGTAAACTGTCAGATGGGTAAACTGGTAGACGGGTACACAGGTAGACGGGTAAACTGGTAGATGGGTAAACTGGTACAGTGGATAGAAAAAGTCAACACACCCCTGTTAAAATGCCAGGTTCTTATGATGTAAAATAATGGTCAGAACCTTTTCCACCTTTAATGTGACGTATAATGTGAACAATTCAATAGAAAACAAAATGAAATCTTTGAGGGGGAAAAATGAAAAATAAAAACCCTCAAATAACCTGGTTGCATAAGTGTGCATACCCTTAGACTAATACTTTGTTGAAGCACCTTTTGATTTTATTACAGCAGTCAGTCTTTTTGGGTAGGAGTCACATCTTGACGTGGCAATATTTGCCCACTCTTCTTTGCAAAAGCGCTCCAAATCTGTCAGATTGCGAGGACATCGCCTGTGCACAGCCCTCTTCAGATCACCACACAGATGTTCAATTGGATTCAGATCTGAAAAATCGGCCCCAAAGCATGATGCTGCCACCACCATGCTTCACTGTGGGTATGCTGTTACTTGGGTGATGTGCATTGTTGTTTTTGCGCCAAACACTTTTTGGAATTAGGGCCTAAAAGTTCTACCTTGGTTTCATCAGACCATAACCAATTTTCCCACATGCTTTTGGGGGACTTGATGTTTGTTTTTGGTGTGCTTGGATGTTTTTCTTTGTAAGAAAAGGCTTCAGTTTTGCCACCCTACCCCATAGCCTATTTATATGAAGAATACAGGAGACAGTTGTCACATGTACCATACAGCCAGTACTTGCCAGAAATTCCTGCAGTTCCATTAATGTTGCTGTAGGCCTCTTGGAAGGCTCCCTGACCAGTTTTCTTTTTGTCTTTTCATCAATTTTGGAGGGACGTCCAGTTCTTGGTAAAGTCACAGTTGTGCCATATTTTCTCCACTTGATGATGACTGTCTTCACTGTGTTCCGTGGTATATCTAATGCTTTGGAAATTCTTCTGTACCCGTCTCCTGACTTATGTCTTTCAACAATGAGATCTCTCGCTTTGAAAACTCTCTGCGGACCATGGCTTTTGCTTGGAGATGCAACTAAGAAAATATCAGGAAAATCATAATAGAACAGCTGAACTTTATTTGTGATTAATCAGTCACTTTAAATAATGGCAAGTGTGTAATGACTTCTAGTTAACCTGAGTTTGAATGTGATTGGTTAATTCTGAACACAGCCACATCCCCAGTTATAAGAGGGTGTGCACACTTATGCAACCAGGTTATTGTAAGGTTTGTATTTTTCATTTTTCCCCCTCAATGATTTCATTTTTTTTTTCTATTGAATTGTTTACATTATAGGTCACATTAAAGGTGGAAAAAGTTCTGACATGATTTATCTTTGTCTCATTATTTTACATCTTAAGAACCTGGCATTTTAACAGGGGTGTGTAGACTTTTTCTGTCCACTGTAGATGGGTAAAGGTGACTGACCCCAAACTTCTGCAGGTCCATTGCCAAACCGTAGTACGCAAAACTGGTGGAGAACCTGCAGAAAAAGACAGACAGGTTGGCAGGTCCAGGTGGAACATGGAAGACTATTCTATGATCTATTGTGGTCTGGATTGAACCTCTTTCGCTGTCTCTGATTAAATGAATAAGTCAATTAACGAATATGAGGAAATCCAGGTGAATGAACACAGATATGGTAAGGGTAAAGCAGGTGTATTGTCTGACCATACGGCCATCAGACAGATGGAGATCCGTCTCATCACTCTGGTCCTCAGCAGGTCGTATGCCGTGAACGTTGAACGGCTCGACTCGATCTCCTTATTCATGTGAGAGTTCAGCACCTGCAGATCACATGGGACTGACCTCAGCTTCTGACACACTTCTATGTACCAGACAGACGGGTAGTCAGACAGACAGTCAGACAGGTTACCTCCAGTGTTAACTTGACAGTCAGACGGGTAGTCAGAAAGTCAGACCACTAGTCAGACAGTCAGAAAGGTAGTCAGACAGACAGAGAGACAGTCAGACAGGTAGACAGACAGACAGTCAGACAGGTAGTCAGGTAGTCAGGCAGGTAATCAGACAGTCAGACGGATAGTCAGACAGACAGTCAGACAGTTAGACAGGTAGTCAGACAGACAGAGAGACAGTCAGACAGGTAGTCAGAAAGACAGAAAGACAGAGAGACAGTCAGACAGGTAGACAGACAGTCAGACAGTCAGACAGACAGTCAGACAGTTAGACAGGTAGTCAGACAGACAGAGAGACAGTCAGACAGGTAGTCAGAAAGACAGAGAGACAGTCAGACAGGTAGACAGACAGTCAGACAGGTAGACAGACAGTCAGACAGTTAGACAGGTAGTCAGACAGACAGAGAGACAGTCAGACAGGTAGTCAGGTAGTCAGACAGACAGTCAGATAGGTAGTCAGACAGTCAGACGGGTAGTCAGACGGGTAGTCAGACAGATAGTCAGATAGGTAGTCAGACAGTCAGACAGGTAGTCAGACAGACAGTCAGATAGGTAGTCAGACAGACAGAGAGACACTCAGACAGTCAGACAGTTAGACAGGTAGTCAGAAAGACAGAGAGACAGTCAGACAGGTAGTCAGACAGTCAGACAGGTAGTCAGACAGACAGTTAGTCAGACAGTCAGACAGGTAGTCAGACAGACAGATAGTCAGACAGTCAGACAGGTAGTCAGACAGACAGATTGACAGTCAGACAGTCAGACAGCTAGTCAGAAAGGCAGTCAGATGGGTAGACAGACAGAAAGAGAGACAGTCGGACAGTCAGACAGACAGTTAGTCAGACAGGTTACCTCCAGTGTTAACTTGACAGTCAGACGGGTAGTCAGACAGTCAGACCACTATTCAGACAGTCAGACGGATAGTCAGACAGACAGTTAGTTAGACAGGTAGTCAGACAGACAGATTGACAGTCAGACAAGTAGACAGACAGAGAGACAGGTAGTCAGACAGACAGTTAGTCAGACAGTCAGACAGGTAGTCAGACAGTCAGACGGATAGTCAGTCAGACAGGTAGTCAGACAGACAGTTAGTCAGACAGTCAGACAGTCAGACAGGTAGTCAGACAGTCAGACGGATAGTCAGACAGACAGTCAGACAGTCAGACAGACAGAGAGACAGTCAGACAGGTAGTCCGACAGACAGTCAGATAGGTAGTCAGACAGTCAGACGGGTAGTCAGACAGACAGAGAGAGTCAGACAGACAGTTAGTCAGACAGTCAGAAAGGTAGTCACACAGACAGTCAGACAGGTAGTCAGACAGACAGAGAGACAGTCGGACAGTCAGACAGCTAGTCAGAAAGGCAGTCAGACAGTCAGATGGGTAGACAGACAGAAAGAGAGACAGTCAGACAGACAGTTAGTCAGACAGGTTACCTCCAGTGTTAACTTGACAGTCAGACGGGTAGTCAGACAGTCAGACCACTAGTCAGACAGTCAGACAGGTAGTCAGAAAGACAGAGAGACAGTCAGACAGGTAGTCAGGTAGTCAGGCAGACAGATAGGTAGTCAGACAGTCAGACGGGTAGTCAGACAGTCAGACGGGTAGTCAGACAGACAGACAGACAGTCAGACAGTCAGTCAGACAGAGAGACACTCAGACAGTCAGACAGGTAGTCAGACAGTTAGACAGGTAGTCAGAAAGACAGAGAGACAGTCAGACAGGTAGTCAGACAGACAGACAGTCAGACAGGTAGTCAGACCACTATTCAGACAGTCAGACAGGTAGTCAGACAGACACTCAGACAGGTAAATGTAAATGCTCCGTATTCTCCATCCTTTTCGACCACTCAAAGCGCTTTTTACACTACATCTGCATTCACCAGTCATACACTGAGCCTAAGTGCTCAAACGAAACAGCCACCAGGGGCAATTCGGGGTTCAGTATCTTGCCCAAGGACACTTCGACATGCAACCAGGGGGAGCCAGGGATTGAACCGCTGAACTTCCGATTAATGGCCACCCCGCAGACAGTTAGTTAGACAGGTAGTCAGACAGACAGATTGACAGTCAGACAGGTAGACAGACAGAGAGACAGGTAGTCAGACAGACAGTTATTCAGACAGTCAGACAGGTAGTCAGACAGTCAGACGGATAGTCAGTCAGACAGTCAGACAGGTAGTCAGACAGACAGTTAGTCAGACAGTCAGACAGGTAGTCAGACAGTCAGACGGATAGTCAGACAGACAGTCAGACAGTCAGACAGACAGACAGAGAGACAGTCAGACAGGTAGTCCGACAGACAGTCAGATAGGTAGTCAGACAGTCAGACGGGTAGTCAGACAGACAGAGAGAGTCAGACAGACAGTTAGTCAGACAGTCAGAAAGGTAGTCAGACAGACAGTCAGATGGGTAGTCACACAGACAGTCAGACAGCTAGTCAGAAAGGCAGTCAGACAGTCAGATGGGTAGACAGACAGAAAGAGAGACAGTCAGACAGACAGTTAGTCAGACAGGTTACCTCCAGTGTTAACTTGACAGTCAGACGGGTAGTCAGACAGTCAGACCACTAGTCAGACAGTCAGACAGGTAGTCAGAAAGACAGAGAACAGTCAGACAGGTAGTCAGGCAGACAGTCAGATAGGTAGTCAGACAGTCAGACGGGTAGTCAGACAGACAGACAGACAGTCAGACAGTCAGTCAGACAGAGAGACACTCAGACAGTCAGACAGGTAGTCAGACAGTTAGACAGGTAGTCAGAAAGACAGAGAGACAGTCAGACAGGTAGTCAGACCACTATTCAGACAGTCAGACAGACAGGTAAATGTAAATGCTCCGTATTCTCCGTCCTTTTCGACCACTCAAAGCGCTTTTTACACTACATCTGCATTCACCAGTCATACACTGAGCCTAAGTGCTCAAACGAAACAGCCACCAGGGGCAATTCGGGGTTCAGTATCTTGCCCAAGGACACTTCGACATGCAACCAGGGGGAGCCAGGGATTGAACCGCTGAACTTCTGATTAATGGCCACCCCGCTCTACCTCCTGAGCCACAGCTGCCCCAGGTAGACAGGTAGTCAGACAGGCAGTCAGACAGATAGTCAGACAGTCAGATGGGTAGACAGACAGAAAGAGAGACAGTCAGACAGACAGTTAGTCAGACAGGTTACCTCCAGTGTTAACTTGACAGTCAGACAGACACTCAGACAGTCAGACCACTATTCAGACAGTCAGACGGGTAGTCAGACAGACAGAGAGACAGTCAGACAGGTAGTCAGACAGTCAGACGGGTAGTCAGACAGTCAGACCACTAGTCAGACAGTCAGACAGGTAGTCAGAAAGACAGTCAGATGGGTAGTCAGACAGACAGAGAGGCAGTCAGACAGTCAGACAGCTAGTCAGAAAGGAAGTCAGACAGTCAGACAGGTAGTCAGACAGACAGATTGACAGTCAGACAGGTAGTCAGACAGACAGAGAGAAAGTCAGACAGGTAGTCAGACAGAGAGACAGTCAGACAGAGAGAGAGACAGTCAGACAGGCAGTCAGACAGGTAGTCAGACAGACAGTTAGTCAGACAGTCAGACAGGCAGTCAGACAGGTAGTCAGACAGACAGATTGACAGTCAGACAGTCAGACAGGTAGTCAGACAGAGAGACAGTCAGACAGGTAGTCAGACAGGCAGTCAGACAGACAGTTAGTCAGACAGTCAGACAGGTTACCTCCAGTGTTAATTTGTCAATTATCTCTGACTTTCTGTTGATTCGAGCGACTCGGTGGAGACACTTTAACGCCTCCTCAGACCGACGGTTCAGAACCAGCCAACGAGCTGACTCTGAGAACCACCTGACCAATCAGAGAACAGAAAGATCAGAACCAACTGACCAATCAGATCATTAAAGACATTTGTTTTGAATGTCTACACTGACCAGCAGTAGGTGAAGAATAGGAACAGGGGGGCACAGGCGACCAGCTGGAGCTTCCTCCAATCTCTCAGCCAATAGGCGAGCCCCGCCAGGATCATCTGACCAAAGGTGAAGAAGAAGGAGGTGAGCGTGCCCACTAACGTCCTCTCTTTGGTCGGGATCCACTCCACCTCTGAGACAGACAGGTTGATCAACCTCAGAGGACACACCATCAGTTTGTTTCCACAGAAGAATAAAGCAACAGAGACAATGACACACAGACAGACAGACAGGTAGACAGAAAGTAGACAGGTAGACAGACAGGTAGAGAGGTAGACAGTCAGACAGACAGACAGGTAGACAGACAGACAGACAGGTAGACAGACAGACAGACAGACAGACAGACAGACAGACAGGTAGACAGGTAGACAGACAGGTAGACAGATACTCAGTGAGACTCCATTCAGGATGATTCCGGACACCGCCATCCCACTCAGAAATCTAAAAATACAATAGGCAGAGTAGGAAGGAGAGAGGGCAGAGCTACAACCGAGCACGCTCAGCTGCAGGTATGACCAAATAAGGACAGACCGCCTCCCAAACCTGAGAGAGAGGGACAGAGAGAAACATTCTGATTGGTCTCATTTTAGTGCACACCTATGACAGGTGCATAGATATTACGAACCAAGAAAATGTAACATGAACACTGTCACATTAATGAAACCATTAATGACCCAGCAGGGGCTCTATGGAAAACACCAAGCTTTAATGGTTATATGTATGTGACCAGTGTGACCAGCTCACCTGTCCGACAGGCCGCCGAAGATGATGGCTCCTGTTAAAACTCCGCCCATATAGATGGTTTGAATCATTTGTTTCAGAGGACGCAGAGAACAGACCAGCTCCCACTGACAGAGAGACGGGGAGAGAGACACTGTGATCAAGGACCACTGCTGGTCACCACCACTACCAATACATCCTTCTCACTACTAAGGATCACTACTGCCTCTTAAAGGATCACTACAACCTACTAAAGGATCCCTACAATTTTCTAAAGGATCACTACTGCCATCTAAAGGATCACTACTGCCTTCTAAAGGATCAGTACTGCCTTCTAAGGTATCACTACTGCCTTCTTAAGGGATCACTACAATTTTCTGAAGGATCACTACTGCCTTCTAAAAGATCCCTACAATTTTCTAAAGGATCACTACTGCCTCTTAAAGGATCATTGCAACATACTAAAGGATCACTACTGCCTTCTAAAGGATCATTACAACATACTAAAGGATCACTACTGCCTTCTAAAGGATCCCTACAATTTTCTAAAGGATCCCTTCTGCCTCATAAAGGATCACTACTGCCTCTTAAAGGATCATTGCAACATACTAAATGATCACTACTGCCTTCTAAAGGATCATTACAACATACTAAAGGATCACTACTGCCTTCAAAAGGATCCCTACAATTTTCTAAAGGATCACTACTGCCTTCAAAAGGATCCCTACAATTTTCTAAAGGATCACTACTGCCTTCTAAAGGATCATTGCAACATACTAAAGGATCACTACTGCCTCTTAAAGTATCATTACAACATACTACAGGATCACTACTGCCTTCAAAAGGATCACTACAATTTTCTAAAGGATCACTACTGCCTTCAAAAGGATCCCTACAATTTTCTAAAGGATCCCTTCTGCCTCATAAAGGATCACTACTGCCTCTTAAAGGATCATTGCAACATACTAAAGGATCACTACTGCCTTCTAAAGGATCCCTACAATTTTCTAAAGGATCACTACTGCCTTCAAAAGGATCACTACTGCCTCTTAAAGGATCATTACAACATACTAAAGGATCACTACTGCCTTCTAAAGGATCCCTACAATTTTCTAAAGGATCACTACTGCCTTCTAAAGGATCCCTACAATTTTCTAAAGGATCACTACTGCCTCTTAAAGGATCATTGCAACATACTAAAGGATCACTACTGCCTTCTAAAGGATCATTGCAACATACTAAAGGATCACTACTGCCTCTTAAAGGATCATTACAACATACTAAAGGATCACTACTGCCTTCAAAAGGATCCCTACAATTTTCTAAAGGATCACTACTGCCTTCAAAAGGATCCCTACAATTTTCTAAAGGATCCCTTCTGCCTCATAAAGGATCACTACTGCCTCTTAAAGGATCATTGCAACATACTAAAGGATCACTACTGCCTTCTAAAGGATCCCTACAATTTTCTAAAGGATCCCTTCTGCTTCATAAAGGATCACTACTGCCTCTTAAAGGATCATTACAACATACTAAAGGATCACTACTGCCTCTCAAAGGATCATTACAACATACTAAAGGATCACTACTGCCTTCTAAAGGATCCCTACAATTTTCTAAAGGATCACTACTGCCTTCTAAAGGATCCATACAATTTTCTAAAGGATCCCTTCTGCCTCATAAAGGATCACTACTGCCTTTTAAAGGATCATTGCAACATACTAAAGGATCACTACTGCTTTCTAAAGGATCCCTACAATTTTCTAAAGGATCACTACTGCCTTCAAAAGGATCCCTACAATTTTCTAAAGGATCCCTTCTGCCTCATAAAGGATCACTACTGCCTCTTAAAGGATCATTGCAACATACTAAATGATCACTACTGCCTTTTAAAGGATCATTACAACATACTAAAGGATCACTACTGCCTTCTAAAGGATCCCTACAATTTTCTAAAGGATCACTACTGCCTTCAAAAGGATCCCTACAATTTTCTAAAGGATCACTACTGCCTTCTAAAGGATCCATACAATTTTCTAAAGGATCACTACTTCCTTCTAAAGGATCCCTACAATTTTCTAAAGGATCCCTTCTGCCTCATAAAGGATCACTACTGTCTCTTAAAGGATCATTGCAACATACTAAAGGATCACTACTGCCTTCTAAAGGATCCCTACAATTTTCTAAAGGATCCCTTCTGCCTCTTAAAGGATCATTGCAACATACTAAAGGATCACTACTGCCTTCTAAAGGATCCCTACAATTTTCTAAAGGATCACTACTGCCTTCTAAAGGATCATTGCAACAAACTAAAGGATCACTACTGCCTCTTAAAGTATCATTACAACATACTACAGGATCACTACTGCCTTCAAAAGGATCCCTACAATTTTCTAAAGGATCACTACTGCCTTCAAAAGGATCCCTACAATTTTCTAAAGGATCCCTTCTGCCTCATAAAGGATCACTACTGCCTCTTAAAGGATCATTGCAACATACTAAAGGATCACTACTGCCTTCTAAAGGATCCCTACAATTTTCTAAAGGATCACTACTTCCTCTTAAAGGATCATTGCAACATACTAAAGGATCACTACTGCCTTCTAAAGGATCATTACAACATACTAAAGGATCACTACTGCCTTCTAAAGGATCCCTACAATTTTCTAAAGGATCCCTTCTGCCTCATAAAGGATCACTACTGCCTCTTAAAGGATCATTACAACATACTAAAGGATCACTACTGCCTCTTAAAGGATCATTACAACATACTAAAGGATCACTACTGCCTTCTAAAGGATCCCTACAATTTTCTAAAGGATCACTACTGCCTTCTAAAGGATCCCTACAATTTTCTAAAGGATCCCTTCTGCCTCATAAAGGATCACTACTGCCTCTTAAAGGATCATTGCAACATACTAAAGGATCACTACTGCTTTCTAAAGGATCCCTACAATTTTCTAAAGGATCACTACTGCCTTCAAAAGGATCCCTACAATTTTCTAAAGGATCCCTTCTGCCTCATAAAGGATCACTACTGCCTCTTAAAGGATCATTGCAACATACTAAAGGATCACTACTGCCTTTTAAAGGATCATTACAACATACTAAAGGATCACTACTGCCTTCTAAAGGATCCCTACAATTTTCTAAAGGATCACTACTGCCTTCTAAAGGATCCCTACAATTTTCTAAAGGATCACTACTGCCTTCTAAAGGATCCCTACAATTTTCTAAAGGATCACTACTGCCTTCTAAAAGATCACTACAATTTTCTAAAGGATCACTTCTGCCTCATAAAGGATCACTACTGCCTCTTAAAGGATCATTGCAACATACTAAAGGATCACTACTGCCTTCTAAAGGATCCCTACAATTTTCTAAAGGATCACTACTGCCTTCTAAAGGATCACTACTGCCTCATAAAGGATCACTACTGCCTCTTAAAGGATCATTACAACATACTAAAGGATCACTACTGCCTCCTAAAGGATCACTACAATTTACTAAAGGATCACTACTGCCTTCTAAAGGATCCCTACAATTTTCTAAAGGATCACTACTGCCTTCTAAAGGATCCCTACAATTTTCTAAAGGATCACTACTGCCTCTTAAAGGATCATTGCAACATACTAAAGGATCACTACTGCTTTCTAAAGGATCCCTACAATTTTCTAAAGGATCACTACTGCCTTCAAAAGGATCCCTACAATTTTCTAAAGGATCCCTTCTGCCTCATAAAGGATCACTACTGCCTCTTAAAGGATCATTGCAACATACTAAATGATCACTACTGCCTTCTAAAGGATCATTACAACATACTAAAGGATCACTACTGCCTTCTAAAGGATCCCTACAATTTTCTAAAGGATCACTACTGCCTTCTAAAGGATCCATACAATTTCTAAAGGATCACTACTTCCTTCTAAAGGATCCCTACAATTTTCTAAAGGATCCCTTCTGCCTCATAAAGGATCACTACTGTCTCTTAAAGGATCATTGCAACATACTAAAGGATCACTACTGCCTTCTAAAGGATCCCTACAATTTTCTAAAGGATCACTACTGCCTTCTAAAGGATCATTGCAACATACTAAAGGATCACTACTGCCTTCTAAAGGATCCATACAATTTTCTAAAGGATCCCTTCTGCCTCATAAAAGATCCCTACAATTTTCTAAAGGATCACTACTGCCTCTTAAAGGATCATTGCAACATACTAAAGGATCACTACTGCCTTCTAAAGGATCCCTATAATTTTCTAAAGGATCCCTTCTGCCTCATAAAGGATCACTACTGCCTCTTAAAGGATCATTGCAACATACTAAAGGATCCCTTCTGCCTTCTAAAGGATCCCTACAATTTTCTAAAGGATCACTACTGCCTTCTAAAGGATCACTACAATTTTCTAAAGGATCACTACTGCCTCTTAAAGGATCATTGCAACATACTAAAGGAACACTACTGCCTCTTAATGGATCATTACAACATACTAAAGGATCACTACTGCCTTCAAAAGGATCCCTACAATTTTCTAAAGGATCACTACTGCCTTCAAAAGGATCCCTACAATTTTCTAAAGGATCCCTTCTGCCTCATAAAGGATCACTACTGCCTCTTAAAGGATCATTGCAACATACTAAAGGATCACTACTGCCTTCTAAAGGATCCCTACAATTTTCTAAAGGATCCCTTCTGCTTCATAAAGGATCACTACTGCCTCTTAAAGGATCATTACAACATACTAAAGGATCACTACTGCCTCTCAAAGGATCATCACAACATACTAAAGGATCACTACTGCCTTCTAAAGGATCCCTACAATTTTCTAAAGGATCACTACTGCCTTCTAAAGGATCCCTTCTGCCTCATAAAGGATCACTACTGCCTCTTAAAGGATCATTACAACATACTAAAGGATCACTACTGCCTCTCAAAGGATCATTACAACATACTAAAGGATCACTACTGCCTTCTAAAGGATCCCTACAATTTTCTAAAGGATCACTACTGCCTTCTAAAGGATCCATACAATTTTCTAAAGGATCCCTTCTGCCTCATAAAGGATCACTACTGCCTCTTAAAGGATCATTGCAACATACTAAAGGATCACTACTGCTTTCTAAAGGATCCCTACAATTTTCTAAAGGATCACTACTGCCTTCAAAAGGATCCCTACAATTTTCTAAAGGATCCCTTCTGCCTCATAAAGGATCACTACTGCCTCTTAAAGGATCATTGCAACATACTAAATGATCACTACTGCCTTCTAAAGGATCATTACAACATACTAAAGGATCACTACTGCCTTCTAAAGGATCCCTACAATTTTCTAAAGGATCACTACTGCCTTCTAAAGGATCCATACAATTTCTAAAGGATCACTACTTCCTTCTAAAGGATCCCTACAATTTTCTAAAGGATCCCTTCTGCCTCATAAAGGATCACTACTGTCTCTTAAAGGATCATTGCAACATACTAAAGGATCACTACTGCCTTCTAAAGGATCCCTACAATTTTCTAAAGGATCACTACTGCCTTCTAAAGGATCATTGCAACATACTAAAGGATCACTACTGCCTTCTAAAGGATCCATACAATTTTCTAAAGGATCCCTTCTGCCTCATAAAAGATCACTACAATTTTCTAAAGGATCACTACTGCCTTCTAAAGGATCCCTTCTGCCTCATAAAGGATCACTACTGCCTATTAAAGGATCATTACAACATACTAAAGGATCACTACATCCTCTCAAAGGATCATTACAACATACTAAAGGATCACTACTGCCTTCTAAAGGATCCCTACAATTTTCTAAAGGATCACTACTGCCTTCTAAAGGATCCCTACAATTTTCTAAAGGATCCCTTCTGCCTCATAAAGGATCCCTTCTGCCTCTTAAAGGATCATTGCAACATACTAAAGGATCACTACTGCCTTCTAAAGGATCCCTACAATTTTCTAAAGGATCACTACTGCCTTCTAAAGGATCCCTACAATTTTCTAAAGGATCCCTTCTGCCTCTTAAAGGATCATTGCAACATACTAAAGGATCACTACTGCCTTCAAAAGGATCCCTACAATTTTCTAAAGGATCCCTTCTGTCTCATAAAGGATCACTACTGCCTCTTAAAGGATCATTGCAACATACTAAATGATCACTACTGCCTTCTAAAGGATCATTACAACATACTGAAGGATCACTACTGCCTTCAAAAGGATCCCTACAATTTTCTAAAGGATCCCTTCTGCCTCATAAAAGATCACGACAATTTTCTAAAGGATCACTACTGCCTTCTAAAGGATCCCTTCTGCCTCATAAAGGATCACTACTGCCTCTTAAAGGATCATTACAACATACTAAAGGATCACTACTGCCTCTTAAAGGATCATTACAACATACTAAAGGATCACGACTGCCTTCTAAAGGACCACTACTACATACTGAAGGATCACTACTGCCTTCTAAAGGATCCCTACAATTTTCTAAAGGATCCCTTCTGCCTCCTAAAGGATTACTACTTCCTCCCAAAGGGTCACTACTGCGTCTTGTCTGCCTCATTACCTCGGAGACAGTGGTGGCGAGGAACTCGGAGCGGTCGAATGTCCATCCGTCCAAACATCCTTCCGTCTGTAACTGGCTAATGTTAGCTGAGCTGTTAGCAGCTAAGAGCTGCCACTGAGGCTCCACATACCTGAAGTGGAACAGGAAGTGATGTCAGAGGGGATGTCGTCATAAGTGCAAAGCAACACGGAGACCATGTTTAAAAGGAACCACTTTTACCTCCGGCAGCGGTCCAGTCTATTTCCTGAAGAGTCCGGAGGGATGAACGCTTTCAGCAGCTGCTTCTCATCCACCTGAAACAACCAATCATGTTCATCCAACCAACCCAACCAATCACATCCACCCGTCAGAGCAGTGTGCTCAGTAAACCTGACAGACAGACGGGTTACCTGGTAGTGAGACAGGTTGTGGAGGCTGTAATTGATTGGCAGACTGCAGTGGTGGGCAGGGATTCCTGAGACGAAGTTGTTCATCAGGTTCTGACTCGCCATCATCAAACCAGGTAAACTGATCAGAGTCACGTGGATCCACTGGTACCTGCCGAACCCGCCCACCTCACCAGGAAACACATGTTACACACCTGCATCACACCTGGTCTACCTGCACAGGTGTGTTCATCCTCACAGTAATCAGATTACAGTAGTAGTTCAGTAAACAGTGACTCACCTCCTCCAGCAGCTCACCGAATCCCATCTCTTCGAGTCTGATTGAGTTTCAGGTCGTTTCAGTGTTTTTGGTTCCAAATGTAAACTTTTAAAATATTTTCTAAGATTGATTGTTCATGTTTTTAGCTGCTCTCCAGGTTACAACACGGGCCTCACTCATCAATAACAACAACAATAATAATAAGAGATATCTTGTGTGTCCAGGAACCTGAGAACAAAAAAATACACAGACAGTTTCTGTTTTAAATGTGAACTTTTAAACTCCAGGAATGTGTTTGAATGTTCATGTCAAAGGTCAAACTGTTAAAAACTAAAACTCTACCAAGCTGTCGCAACCTTTTCTGCATTTCACTGCACGTGTGCCAGTCTTCCATAGAACATCATACAGTAGTATATTTGGAATTTTTATTGTGTAAATTCTAACAGAAGTTAACTCAGGGCACTTTTCATAGAGCAGGTCCAAACAGTACTCTTCATAATATGAACAGTGTCCTGATGATAACGCGTCACAACTCAGTAGAAGAGAGGCAGCGGTGTTTTTACAGCGTACTCTAAAAAGGTGAAATATTTGTATGGAGTCTGGTGAGAGTTCTTAAAGGATTACTGTAGCTGCATCTGAATGGAAACAGTACGAAAAGAGGATTTTCTCTGTAAATCAGTGAAAAACGTACTTACAGTCTGCAGGCTGACGGACGACTGGAGGGCTGAGAGACGGGTGGAGAGGTGGGGGAGAGGGGGGGTGCTGAGAGAGGGGAGAGAGAGAGATGGGTGAGAGAGAGAGGGGAGAGAGAGTAGCAGAAACTACATGACTGAACCTTAAGTAACTTAAAGAACAAAAGTCAGCACCAACTCTCCCCCCCACCCCCCCCCACCTCCCTCGTCTTCTTGTCTGTTCATTGGTTGAGAGACACTATAACATAACTAACCTCTCGCTGTGTTTTTGTTGGTTTAACAATTGTTTGTTTTTCAGTTAATGGCTGAGAGTATTATCTCTCTCTCTCTTCAGGCTTCAGTCTGATTTTAAAGATCAAAAATAGATAAATCAATAAAAAAACTTAAATGATCATTTAAATCATTTTTCAAAGTAAAACATCTCAAATCTTTCTAGTTTCAGCTTCTCAAATGTGAACCATAGTAAAGAAAATATTTCAGATCCTTTTATTAAGTCCAGACGTTATTATGAACATGTTCAACGTTTGAGATGTTTCTTAATCGAGACAATAACTGGCAGATGAACCAAGTCTTAATCGGCTGGTTGTGATCAGAGAAAATAAAACTCCAGTCGGTAAAGTTTGAACATGTTTAAATGCTTGTTGGACCTCGTCTCACGTTGGACTTACTGTCACTAGAAAACTCTCCTCTCAGTTTGTTTTCGTGTCCTCGCGTCTCGCTGAGTTTTTCTCTCCTGGAATTCATCCGACTGAGTTTCAGTCAACAAACGTCTCAGCTGGTTTCAGATGCAGATGACACGACAAGGATGAACAAACTCAACACATGCGACACATGAAACATTCAGTTAATCAATTTAGTGAAATCAATAAATCAACTACCAAACACATCCATGCATATAAAAACAAATTTAACTGTAGAAAACACTCTAAAATGTACAGAAAACACACATGCAGTGTGTGTAAATATATACACATGTACTGGGGTTAGGGTTACATATATATATAAATATATATATACACACACACTGGGGTTAGGGTTATTTATACACTCTTGAACAAAATCTTAAGACCGGGGGAAACATTGCAAGTACTCGCATTTCACGCTGGTGGATCATAACCGGATTGTAAGTACTGCTTCAAAATGCCAAAAGAAGAAACAGGAGCAAGAGACAAAAAATAGAGAGTGGGCAATTTATTGAAAACTGCATTTAAACTCAAACAGGCTGTTCATCAGCTGATCAAAGGTTTAAGACCATAGGCATAAAAAGGTCTTCAAAGGCCACGTCTCCTCCCACGCCACAAACTTGCCCGTTTGGAATTTGCAAGGGAGCACAGTCCTGATGGCTTCCAACGTTACTGGCATGATAAGGAGATCCCACCGGAGATGTTTTCTACGCGGCACAGTGGAGGAGGCTCCATCATGATTTGGGGTGCTTTTTCCTTCAATGGGAAAATGGAGCTTCAGGTTGTCCAGGGGCGTCAAACGGCGACTGGCTATGTGGACATGTTGCAGGGGGCATCCCTCTTGACTGAGGGCCCCCGTCTGTGCGGTAATGCACAACGCCCGCCTGACGAAGGACTTCTTCCAGGAGAATAACGTTGCTCTTTTGGACCATCCTGAGTGTTCTCCTGATCTAAATCCCATTGAGAACATTTGGGGATGAATGGCAAGGGAAGTTTACAAAAACGGATGTCAGTTCCAGACCGTGGATGCCCTTCATGAAGCCATCTTCACCACATGGAGCAACGTTCCCAGCAGCCTCCTGGGAACAGTCGCATCAAGCATGCCGAAACAAGTGTTCGAAGTGATCAACAAGAACGGTGGGGCTACTCACTACTGAGTCCTTTTTTGACACTTTAGTTCTGTTGTAGTTTTATTTTTGGGCTATGGTCTTAAACCTTTGATCAGCTGATGAACAGCCTCTTAGAGTTTAAATGCAGTTTTCAATAAATTGCCTACTCTCTATTTTTTGTCTCTTGCTCCTGTTTCTTCTTTTGGCATTTTGAAGCAGTACTTACAACCCGGTTATGATCCACCAGCGTGAAATGCGAGTACTTGCAATGTTTCCCCCGGTCTTAAGATTTTGTTCAAGAGTGTATAAATAACCGCAGTATTTACATCTGTTCATGTTTCAACACTGAAGAAATGACCTTGTGCTCCAGTGTAAAGTAGTGACTGTGCAGCTTGTATAACAGTGTAAAGTCGTGAGCGTACAGCTTGTATAGCGTGCAGCTTGTATAACAGTGTAAAGTAGTGAGCGTGCAGCTTGTATAACAGTGTAAAGTAGCGAGCGTGCAGCTTGTATAGCGTACAGCTTGTATAACAGTGTAAAGTAGTGAGCGTGCAGCTTGTATAGCGTACAGCTTGTATAACAGTGTAAAGTAGTGAGTGTGCAGTTTGTATAGCGTACAGCTTGTATAACAGTGTAAAGTAGTGAGTGTGCAGTTTGTATAGCGTACAGCTTGTATAATTCAATTCAATTTTCAATTCAATTTTATTTATATAGCGCCAAATCACAACAACAGTTATCTCACAGCGCTTTTCATAAAAGAGCAGGTCTAGACCGTACTCTGTGATGCTATTTACAGAAGCCCAACAGTTCCCACCAAGAGCAGCACTAGGAGACAGAGGCAAGGAAAAACTTCCTTTAAGAGGCAGAAACCTCGAGCAGAACCATGACTCAGGGTGGGCGGCCATCTGCCTCGACCGGTTGAGGTGAAGGAGAGAGAGAGAGAGAGAGAGAGAGAGAGAGAGGGGAGGGAGGCAGCCTACACAATATCCACACAGAGGTACAGACAGTAAAGGTGATGTTGCTATAGACTAAATGAAAAATGGTACAGATATTTATAGTAGTGTTAATGATAACAATCGTAATGTTAATGATTATAATAATAATAATAACAATAAGACTAGCAACAATAGTCGTTGCAGCAGAGGGTGTCGAGCAGGAACACGGGGGCAGCAGGTGACCCGCAACCACAGATCCAGACTCCACAGCTCCAGAGCCAGAAAACCTGCAGGAAGTGATAGGAGGAGAGAGGAGAGAGACGAGAAAGCACAAGACTACCAGAAAGGGGAGAAGTTGTGTTAGTAACATGCAATAATGGGATGAGGTTGCATACAGAGGGAGAGAAAGTAGAGGAGAGAGGAGCTCAGTGCATCATGGGAAATCCCCCGGCAGTCTTGGCCTATAGCAGCATAACTAAGGGATGGTTCAGGACTCACCTGAGCCAGCCCTAACTATAAGCTTTATCAAAGAGGAAAGTCTTAAGCCTACTCTTAAATGTGGAGATGGTGTCTGCCTCCTGAACCCAAACTGGAACCTGGTTCCACAGGAGAGGAGCTTGATAGCTGAACGCTCTGGCTCCTAGTCTACTTTTGGAGACTCTAGGAACCACAAGTAACCCTGCATTCTGGGAGCGCAGTGCTCTGGTGGGGTAGTAAGGTACTATGAGCTCTTTAAGATAAGATGGTGCCTGACCATTAAGAGCTTTGTAGGTAAGAAGAATGATTTTAAATTCTATTCTGGATTTTACTGGAAGCCAATGCAAAGAAGCTAAAACAGGAGAAATGTGATCTCTTTTCCTGGTTCCTGTCAGAACACGTGCTGCAGCTTTCTAAATCAACTGAAGAGTCTTAACGGACTTTTTCGAGCAGCCTGATAATAAGGAATTGCAATAATCCAGCCTAGAAGTAACAAATGCATGGACTAGTTTTTCTGCATCATTTTTAGACAGGATGTTCCTGATTTTCGCAATATTACGGAGGTGAAAAAAGGCGGTCCTTGAAATTTGCTTAATGTGAGACTTAAACGACATGTCCTGATCAAAGATAACTCCAAGATTCCTCACAGTGGTGCTGGAGGCCAGGGCGATGCCATCCAGGGAAACTATATCTTTAGATAATGCGTCGCGGAGGTGCTTAGGCCCCAGAGCAATAACTTCAGTTTTATCTGAGTTTAACATGAGAAAATTACAGGTCATCCAGGTTTTAACATCCTGAAGGCACATTTGAAGTTTAGCTAACTGATGAGTTTCATCTGGCTTGATCGATAGATATAACTGAGTATCATCTGCATAACAATGAAAGCTTATGGAATATTTCCTGATAATATTGCCTAAAGGAAGCATATATAAAGTGAAGAGGATTGGTCCGAGGACAGATCCTTGAGGAACTCCATGACTAACTTTGGCATGCATGGAGGACTCATCGTTAACATGTACAAACTGAAATCGATCTGATAAATAGGACTTAAACCAGCTTAGAGCGGTTCCTTTAATGCCAATGAAATATTCCAGTCTCTGCAATAGGATCTGATGGTCAATGGTATCAAATGCAGCACTAAGATCTAATAAAACCAGTACAGAGACAAGTCCTTTGTCTGATGCAATAAGGAGGTAGTAATTTTCACCAGTGCTGTCTCTGTGCTATGATGAGCTCTAAATCCTGACTGAAAATCCTCAAATAAACTATTGCTCTGTAGAAAGTCACACAGCTGTTTAGCAACTGCTTTCTCCAGAACCTTAGAGAGAAATGGAAGGTTAGATATAGGTCTATAGTTGGCTAAAACATCCGGATCAAGTTTGGGCTTTTTCAGAAGAGGTTTAATTACAGCTACTTTAAAGTACTGTGGTACATAGCCTGTTGATAAAGATAGATTGATCATATCTAGTATAGAGGTGCTGACTAAGGGTAAAACATCTTTAAGCAGCCTAGTCGGGATGGGGTCTAAGAGGCAGGTTGATGGTTTAGATGAAGAAATTATTGAAGTTAGTTGGTAAAGATTGAGGGAAGCAAAACAGTCTAAACATGTATCTGGTTCTACAGCTGTTTCTAAGGTTCCTGAGTTAAGAGATAAGTCGGTGCCAGTTGAGGGCAGGTCTTGGTGAATTTTGTCTCTAATAGCTAGAATTCTATCATTAAAGAAGCTCATGAAGTCGTAACTACTGAGAGCTATGGGAATACTTGGCTCAGTAGAGCTGTGACTCTCTGTCAGCCTGGCTACAGTGCTGAAAAGAAACCTGGGGTTGTTCCTATTTTCCTCTATTAATGACGAGTAGTACGCTGCTCTGGCATTACGGAGGGCCTTCCTATAAGTTTTAAGACTATCATGCCAAATTAAACGAGAATTTTC